TAGTAAGACTGTGCAATCACTAATTACATGTATTAGCGATTGCATGGGTTTACTACATTGTTGCCTAAAACATGTTTTGTTTTATTAAAGTTTTTTATTTCTCTCTTTTTCTGTGACTATTAATAACTATGTACTAATTTTTTGGCCCCTCAGGCAAACAAAACCATTTTTAAAAGGATCGAACAGTTTGTGTAAAATAGTTACATTTATCTGACCCAGGGGAGGGGTCCTCATCTTATTTTTAAGCTTAAGTGAAGCCAAAAGGGTTGAGGATATTATTTTTAAGGGCTTAGATCGGCATCCCTCCACTTACTTGAAGATCTGAATCAGCCCCTGTTTATTGATCACTAGGTGCAAGCGACTGTAGTTGGTTCCTTGGCAGCATTCGCAGCTGTTATCATGGGCTGGATTCTGGATGGAGAATTCAAGATTCATCATGCCTCCCTACTCTGTGCAAGTAGCTTAGTTACAGCGACACTAGCCAGCCTCATTCTTGGTTCTGTGATGGCTGCAGTGGTTGTGTTTTCCAGGAAGTGCAACATCAATCCAGATAATGTAGCCACACCCATTGCAGCCAGTCTTGGAGACCTCATAACCCTGGCGCTGTTGTCTGCTATTAGTAGATTTCTACATAGTTGTCTTGGTAAGTTTGAAATAAAGAGAGTACCATCATTTTATCATCAGAACTGCCTGTGAGTTTCCAATGCATTTTACCAAAACAATAATACCGTAATACCATGAACTTCACCCCGACATTGCTTGTTTTCTGAAGTACGTGAAGGGCTTTTGTCCACTAAGGAAGTCCACATTGAGGACAACAGGGGAGTATTGCCTATTTGATTTCATCAGTCCCTGTCCTTTACAGTTGGTCTTAAAGGTAAACAATGCAGTGATAATGGTGAACTCATTTAAATACACCTGGTTGGATCAGGGAAAAAATTTGCTGCACATTTTCTCTCACAGTGAAAAATAATAATAAATTATTGCATTGTGGTTTACAAACTAAAAGGCATTGTTGACATTGTTTTTTTCAAACTTGTTACAAGTTTAATGTTTCCGTTTGCTGTAGACACCGAGGGTGGTACTCACCACTGGATTGCACCTGTCATCAGCTTGGGTTTCTTCATCATTCTACCACTATNTCATGGGCTGGATTCTGGATGGAGAATTCAAGATTCATCATGCCTCCCTACTCTGTGCAAGTAGCTTAGTTACAGCGACACTAGCCAGCCTCATTCTTGGTTCTGTGATGGCTGCAGTGGTTGTGTTTTCCAGGAAGTGCAACATCAATCCAGATAATGTAGCCACACCCATTGCAGCCAGTCTTGGAGACCTCATAACCCTGGCGCTGTTGTCTGCTATTAGTAGATTTCTACATAGTTGTCTTGGTAAGTTTGAAATAAAGAGAGTACCATCATTTTATCATCAGAACTGCCTGTGAGTTTCCAATGCATTTTACCAAAACAATAATACCGTAATACCATGAACTTCACCCCGACATTGCTTGTTTTCTGAAGTACGTGAAGGGCTTTTGTCCACTAAGGAAGTCCACATTGAGGACAACAGGGGAGTATTGCCTATTTGATTTCATCAGTCCCTGTCCTTTACAGTTGGTCTTAAAGGTAAACAATGCAGTGATAATGGTGAACTCATTTAAATACACCTGGTTGGATCAGGGAAAAAATTTGCTGCACATTTTCTCTCACAGTGAAAAATAATAATAAATTATTGCATTGTGGTTTACAAACTAAAAGGCATTGTTGACATTGTTTTTTTCAAACTTGTTACAAGTTTAATGTTTCCGTTTGCTGTAGACACCGAGGGTGGTACTCACCACTGGATTGCACCTGTCATCAGCTTGGGTTTCTTCATCATTCTTCCACTATGGGTGTATATCACTCACAACAATGCCTTCACTCACAGTGTATTATATACTGGATGGAGCCCAGTGCTCAGTGCCATGATTATCAGTAGGTAAAGCTATGATCCTTATATTCCTACTAAGTTAAAGGCTGGTTTTCACTAGCGACGGAGTCTGAGTCAGAGTCGTAATCAGAAGCGTGGAATTTACGATCTAGTAAAAACAACATTCTGATTCCACTTACAACTGCGTTGCTTACGATCAAGTGAAAACTAGGTTATCGGAGTCGCAAGCAGAAGCGGAAGACCTAAACTAATCGCAAAGCTTGGGAACAAGCATTGTGATTGGTTTGTTCTTCCGCTTCTGCTTGAGACTTTAACAATCTGGTTTTCACTAGATCATTAGCAACTGAGTCACAAGTGGAGTTTTAAGAAAATGGAAATGTTCCGATTCTTCCGACTCCGATTCCATCGTGGTTATGACTCCGTTTATGACTCCGATTTTTGATCTTCACCAGGTCATAAGCACTTTTAAGACTACACTTATGATCCTGACCCTGTTATTAGTGAAAACCAGCCTTAAATTGCTCCATTGTGTGCCAGAGACTCCATTTTTCATAAAGTTTTCACCAGTATTGTTAAGGCAGTTATCTTAATTTTGTTGTATCTGATAAGGTTTCTGTTTTCTAAGTCAAATATGTGAGTTATAAATTTAGATTTTTGATCTCTGTCCAGTTCAGACACCAAAGACTAAGAATGTTGTAACGGATGATCCAAGACTTCTTTAAGTGCCCCCTACCTCTCTCCTTTTTTAAGCAACTGGATTATACTTTGTAACAACCTTCATGTCAAAGTTTTTTTAATTAGTCTTAGGTATTACTAGTTTTTTATTCAGCCTTCTAAGATGTAGTCAACCATGCAGTAGTTTTTATCTCGTTCGTCAAGCTTAGCATGATGAGACAAAAATGGCAGCGTGCTATTTACAATGTATAGTTTTCTGTTCAAGCCCTTGGAAATTCAATCCACACCCTCTCCTCTCTACCTACCCCCTCCCTGCTTGTTAGCCTCTTCAAAATACACCTATCTACCCCTCAGAAAGTCTGGGAACCTTTGCTGAGAATACAGAAGCTACAGTTTAGTTTCATTTGCTTGTGGTGTTGTTTGCAGTGCTGGTGGTCTAATTCTTGACTTTGCTGTGGACAAATATCATGGAATAGCTGTGTTCAGTCCAGTAATAAATGGTGTTGGTGGGAACCTTGTAGCTGTCCAAGCAAGTCGTCTCTCCACAGGACTGCACCAGCTGGGCAAACCTGGCGAGGTGCAGGAGAAGAGCAAATTCCATGGCTGTATTGACACATTTTTTGGATCAGGTATGTGGATTAAACGAAGCAGGGATTCTTAAAGTTAAGCTTCAACTGCAGTACTTTCTCATGGTACCCCTTGTAGTTCTAACTTTTGAATCTGTGGTTGAAATCCTTCGGTGTGACCATTTAAGTGAAAACTCTACAGCAGTACTTTCTCATGGTTCCGTTAATTTAGTTTGTATTTCCAGCTTTTTAGTTTCTGGACTTAATATAATCCTTTCCCTTTTGTTTTATCGCAGGACTACATGCTCGAACAACCAGAGTGTTGCTATTTATGGTTATTCCTGGTAACTTGATATTTTTATACACAATCCGTGTTCTGCAGGCAGGACATACTACACTCACGCTCCTGTTTACTTCAGTCTACTTACTTGCTGGCATGATTCAGGTACATTTCTATTTTTATTGCCTCAGATCTTCAATAGTTTGCTTTGATCAACAGTGAAGGCGCTATATTTCTTCGTTTCCTACCTAACGTATATAAATTTTCGAGGAGTTGCTGCATGGCA